ATTCCACGTTGCGTCTTTGCTCGCCGGCGACGACTCTTGCCCTGTTCCGTCGCACTGTTCTTCCTGGCTTTGGTGATGGCTTCAATCCTGGAGTAGTGTTTGTTCCCCCTTTCCTGGGGGTATTTTTTATTGCGACCAGGCTCGAGAGGCAGATAGTTGAATACGGCGGCAACAAAAAGGCCCTGCCGGTTCTGGGAACTGACGAAAGCTTCCTATCGCCCTACCCCTTTCGAGGACGCAAACGTCCCCACCCACCCCTGGCGGCGAGACCCAGTGGGAAGGAAGGCGAAGGGGGCGGGGCTCATCAGAAGGCTCGGAAGGCATCCAGCCGTCTGAGGAGGCCTGCCCCCTCACATCGGGCCGCATCGCCGATGCATCGGCGATGCATCGGGGATGCATCGTCGACGCGGAGCGATCCTTCGACCCCGTCTGCTCGGACCCCGCTTGGGAGGCCAGACCCACCCCAGTCGACGACGAAAACGCCCCAACCCCCTTTTTTAGAGAGGACAAACAGTATAAACATAAACTTTCGACGGTCCGCGTGGAGTTCTTGAAACTGCGCTGGACCCCCGGAGACGTCGCTGGGGAGTCCAACGCAGATCCAAGAAATCCGCGGGGACCGTCGAACACTTACGATTACAATCGAAATTGATAATAAGGATACGTGATAAGGATTCAAGCCCCTTGGAAAAGCGGGGCTGGCCATCGAAAGGGGTCAAGGATGGACCGAGGATACAAGGATGGAAGGGTACCCTTGGGAAGGTTCTCCATCCTTACTATCGATGTCGATTGTGTGCAGCTCTCTGCATCGACGATGCATCGGCGCCATCGGCGTGGAGAAGATCGAGATCCACATCGAGCTGACTCGCCGATTCACCGGCGATGCGGCGCGATCCTCCGACCCCATGCCCATGTAGTCGGACTCCCTCTATAAGGAGCCAAAAAAGAACGTACGCGCCCAGCCATGTAGATGAACACGGCCCCCTAATCCGCGAGGCCGGCCGCGTGATACGAACGTTCGCGCGATGCGCACTCTCGGAACCAACGTGGATTCGTGGGGAGGACTCAGGAAACTCTGAAACCAAAAAGTTGTCATCTCTTGGGGGCGCATCTTCTCTTTCCGTCGCCTTCCGACGCCCTTTCCTGCCTTTCTCCCGGGACTGCGCCCAAGGACACTCGGGACGAACGCTTCGTGAGAGGCCCAAAGTACACGTCGTTCATTTCTAATCGTGCTCCTTTCCAGTTGTGCTCGTTTCTAATCGTTCCTGGCCTCCTAGGAGGCCAGGAAGAGGCCCAGGACAGAACACTTCGACAGGAGAAAGGATCTTGCCCCCCCCAAAAACCAAAGAAAGTTCGAAGAATTAGAAATGTGTAAGATCTGCCGAAGTTCGGCGCACGACATGCCCAGCCATCTCGCGAGGCTGGGCCCGACACGGGAGCGGTGCGGGCCGCCAGCCCTGCGCCAGCCTTCCGCCCGCGGAGCCGCCTTCAGCTGTACTCCCCGCCGGCCGTCCGCCGGCCTTCCGCCGCCCTGCCGCGGAGGAAGACAGATTGACGCCTCCCTCCTCCTCCTCCTCCTCCTCCTCCTCCTCCTCCTCCTCCCTCCCTCCCTCCCTCCCTCCCTCCCTCCCTCCCTCCCTCCCTCCCTCCCTCCCTCCCTCTGCAATCGGACTCGATTGAACAGGACGCGCGAGAGGACACGAGACCCTTCCGAGGGCCACGTTGCCGCAGGCATGCAGGAAGCATGGGTCGCGGGACACAGGGCACAAGGGTACCCTTGATTCGGCAGGGTCGACCTACTCGTCCGGGCCGCCTGTATCCTCGAAGGCGCGGCGCTCTGAGGAACGCCGCATGGGCGTGTGCGTCCTTCTCTCGCCCCTGAATCTAGGATTAGCGTGGACATGTCCTCCTAGAGGCGGATTTTGGCAGAACCAGGAAACATGGTCAAAGACACATCCAAACATAGCCAAGCCTCGTCGAAACGCCGTCCCCCGACCATGCTTTGACCACTTTGGGCTACTCCTCCTGCAGAGGGACATGCCCGACCTCAATCTAGGAGGCCAACATTGAGGGATGCAAAAACGACCCTACCCTGGGTTCCAAGTGCGTGGTCCGTGAACCTCCTTGGAGCTCCCAAAGGCCAGAGAGCCGCCAGGACGCCCCGCGCGACACGCGGGATCTGCAGGGTTTACCCCGTCAGCCGACAGGAGGTTCAGCGCACAGCGCCTCCTAAACCGGGGTAGGGGCGTTTCGACGCCCTTGACAAGAGATCTTCGCCGCCCCCGACGCCTGGCTCTCGGCGCGCTCCGCGTCGGCGCACTGATGCCGCAGGGCGGCCGTCTGCGCCTCCGCCAGCCGCGCCTGCGCCTCGCGCGCCCACCGCTGCGCCCGCAGAGCCTCGCGCGCGGCCACCACCTCCTCTCGCGGGGACGCACTGACCCGGGTCAGCGCTGACCCGGGCCAGCGCATACGTGGCACGGAGCCACGCTGCGGACTTCGC